TAGACAACATCAAGAATTATAAAGGAGAATTTAGAAATGTAAAGAAATAAAATTTTCAAGTAAATTAAAGGAAAAATAAGACAATACGAGAGAGTACTATTCGCGTGTTGTCCTACCTTGAAGCAAACCAATAGGGAAAATGGCATCGTTAGAATCACCATGAGCCAAGATAATATCACAAGAATATTTTTGCAGGTGTTGGAGTTTGTTTCTACGTTGTCTTCCGCTGGAACATAATAAAATATGTTACAATGGTCAATCAAAAGCAGTTAGAAATGAGCGAAGGTACACATAGCCAAGACCATACATGTTTCGTCGTCTACGTTCCATGAATTTCAGGTGACGACCAAAATGACCGAGTTAAGTCTAAAAGAGGCTAAATTTGAATGGAATATGAAATCAGCAAAAGATGGTAAGAATTTTAATATCTGGATATTAAAAAAAATGTAAGTAAGATGCGTTCTTATATCGTTCAATTATCTAGATAGGATGATATTCGATAATTAATTCGCGAAGTTCGCTGTCGAACGTTCATTCATTATTATTAAACAGAAACAAGAAAGAAAATAACACGACGATATCAAAGAATGCGTAAAATGTATTTATAGGAACATTCAATTGTCTCATCGATTTTACGAGTATCTCTAGTGTATTCACGCGCAGATCGATATTTTAAATGTATACAACCTACATTCAGAAAATTACGCCTCCGTAAAAGAAATAAATCGAATTAAGTAAAATGAAAGTACGTAGAGTAAAAGAATATAAGAATAAATCTAGATTTTCTGGAAGTGATATATTAATGAATTGACAAGTTATTGGATAGGGCAGAGACTTCTCTTTTATCAATTTACAAGTTTTAATTAAATAGGATACTCGTGTAAATTTGTACAATTTACTTATAATATTTTACTTGTTTCATTACTCGATTTTACTTGTACATTTTGTAAAGAAGATTATGATTATTATTGTACCTTATAAAATTTCAATTGATAATATTAGAAAAAATTTACAAGTCATAAACTTATCGGCATCAGTGATATGTGTGATCAACGTAAAAATTAATTTACTGTAAGACAATATAAACGTGTCGACAGATTTTTAACAATTTTAAAATCACACAGAAAACCTCTGAACAATTCTAAAAATTCTGATCTGCAATATTCGCTTACCTTCCGTCATTTCGAACCAGCAGCTGTTATTGAATTCGACTTGGCGAATTCGAAAATCGAGCGAAAAAAGTCAGACGGGGATCCCTCACGCTCACCAAGTCTTTGAACTCTGAATGAACAGAGGTGGAAGGGGTTTCACAGAGAAAAGCAAAACGAGATATGGCAGAGCTTCAACGTGCTATTCGTGTCACAAGATCCACTACGAGTAGCTGCCTAGCCGGTCTACGTTTAACCACCCACCCATAGCAAGTCCTTGCTTTCCTTTTTTCCTTTACTTTTCCCCCGTTTCCCTGTCTCCCTTTCTCAGATATAGGTGCTCAGCACTGCTCCTTTCCTCTTACCTATTCCTCTTCTCCCTTCAGTCATACCGACATGCGCAAAATGCGCAGACCCCTACCTTTTCTATTTTCAACACTCCTTGTTTCCTCTTCTCCTCCTCTCTTTTTTTCTTTCTTTCTTATTGTTCAGCTCTGTAATTTCCCCGTCGCCTGCCTTAGTCATTAATTATTACTGTTGAGTCTTTCTCTCTGACATAACAAACTGATCCTTCATACTGACATAGAAACATTGAAAACATAGGAGACTAATCTTTCCAAACTATTTCAATCTTCGTTTTTTTGCAAATTGTCTGCGTGAATACACGCATGTGTATAGACACACCACTTCCGCTTATCTATTTATGTACTATTTATTACTTATTACGTGTATAGCGCAAGCCGTATATTCGTTCTTGAAATATTCCTATCGATTTATACTTAGAAAGTATACTCGTTACACGTATTTACAGCTTATCCAACGGAATCGGCACGTAACAAAGTTATCTATATATAGAATAGTGAATTATCTTGGAAAACATTTGGAGAAGCCAGGCCGTGATCTTCTTTGTGTTCCTCTATAGCTACGTATATCACGCCTGACCATAACGAGACGCTTCTACTTGGAACACTCTGTTCTCTCCTCTTCAAAGTTAAACGAAGTTATACATACATAGTTAGAGTGCAAAATATACGTATAGAATGATTGACGACCTTGTCTGAGAATGCAGTACAGTTTTCCGGAGTGTAAAGAAAAATTTGACCTTCTTTAGACTCGAGTAATATTTCATATCGCGCAGTCCAACGTGACGCAATGTTGTATATACATGTGCTTCAATTTAATGATGTACACGTAGCGCGAGAAATATATATATTTGTAATATAAATATTTCTAACTCACCGCCGATGATACGATTCTGTATATCATCTGGCCGCGTATTGATTTGTATCGTTGATCCATTTCCATTGCTTATAGTTGCCATAGGTATAGACATATCACTAGGCTTCACACGGGATTCAAATCTCGCCACCTAAATTACAGATCGTACAGTGTAATTAAATTTATATTGATGTGCTTGATTATTGCTGAACTCCATTAACAACAAAGTGTATACATCCGGTTTATAATGGCAATTTATTTTAAAAATATACCTTGCATTTAAATCAATTTAAATAAACCAGTTATATCCTGATAACAATTCTCCTCGATTTTCGATAAAAATCGTTATTACTATTAGCGTAGTCGTAAGTACAATTGTTCTGCTGTACTAGAAGTTAAATATTGGAATGACATGTGAGATGTATTGGTGCTAATATATAATTGAAAAGAATGAATGAAAATTTTTGTTTCAACAGGATCGCAGTACGAACGTGAAAAATATTAAAGACAAGTGTATTGGAGGAAGTGTGTATTCACCTTGCACCAATTGTTGGGAGTCGTTGAAAGAAGTAACAAGAATAATGAAGATAACGTCGCGATGCAGTGACGTTTTATATGTGCGCGGCCGCCGCCCTTACTAGTAGTATAGGAAAATACGTGATCAGCCAATAGAGCTACTACAAGCACAACTCGCGTAGAAAGGTTTATATTCCTTTCCTTTTCTTTCTGTCATTGTCGGAATGATTCATCGTCGTGAAAATCAACAAAAAATTACGACTCGAACTGGAAATAAAAAAATAGAGAAAAATGTAAAATGAGGAACAGTTGATCTGTACGTAGCACGTATACATGATCCAACGTCAATTTTTTCTTCAGTTATTAATCGACTATACGTAAAATATACAATAAGAAATGATAGATTATTGATAGTATGGAATGTGATGATTTAAAACTTTGTCACATTGGCTACATCTGAGAATTTGTAGACGTAATTCACTTTCATACTCTATATATGTTCAACTTTAAAGAAACTTGGCTCACTTGTAAAAAGACAAAGACATTACAATTGAATTACATATTAATGAAATATTAATGATAGCAATAATACGTAAGAACGAAATAAAAAAGACATGTATGCTCATTAAGTCAAATCGACAACGTAAAAGCAACAAAGTGAGAGTAACAAAAGTTCTCAACAAGTTGGACATAACTATATATCTCGTTGCTTTTTTTTTACAATACATTATACTGACGATACATGAGGAAAAAAGGATAAAAGCAGTAAGAAAATTATTAATTAAGAGTAAATGTTTATTAACATTACTCTTAAAATATATAACAATATTACTGTATGATACATCGCGCATTTTCGCACTGGTAGTGAACAAAAGTGTTCATTACATTGTTTCTTATAAATACATCACTGCATTGTATTATATACTCAAGAGAATTAAAATTTACAAACGACTGTTTCATTCGCTTGACGAGTATCGTGCATATCTTAATATTAAGATATATCGATTAAAGTGATGTATAAAAATGAACACTGATGTCTTACTTCCACTGATTTCGTTAAATTGATTTACAAAGGAAAATGTGTTGCAAGTACATTGCTCTGAATTGGCTACTTTGCAGACCGAATTCACTCGCATACTAAATTCGCTACGGTCAGATTCGACATTTGCTTATGCATAAACATATGCGATATAACGATTAAAATATAACGTGAGTAACGCGGTCGACGCAGGCAGTATGTATATTTATCCGTGCAACGGAACATTAATTATTACGATATACTCGAAGAGAATCTAGCGTGCGATCATGTATGCGAAATATTTTCACTGTAACTAGAAGTCCTGGTTCTTTGTCACTGAAAAACACTGGACAGTACTGGCTGAGTGTGATCGTTAAAGAAGTCTTGAAAATACTGGCTTGAAACTATTTACAGTTTCATTTACGTGATTTCCTTTGTACTGATAAATACTTTAAAACGCAAGACCAGCTTCGGAATAAGTGGCAAATATTTTCTCGATCGAATTAATATAAGCAGCTGTCCTCAAGTCCAAGCCAAGATTGAACTTCATGGCTGTCTTCATAATAGCCTGTGAATGAAGATAAAATTAAATTTGGTACATCACAATTGGTCGTTTTCCATTTGTTTATTTAAATGGAAAGAATAGTTAATTACCCTTGCGGATCTTTCCATAGTGTAGTCTAAACCAGAATGGACAATGTCTTTTTCAGAAGCACCAGAGATGCGTTTTTGGAATGCTTCGGAAGGTGTAACAGGAATTCGACCGCCTACACGGCCAAATCTGCGTTCTAACGATTCTTGTACAGATTCTAAAATTAAAAAAGGAAATTCTTAATGTGCAATAATGTACAATGCGATACGATAAGAATACATATATAATTCGAATCTTTATTACTGGCACATGTAATCATACGTACCTAACAAATGATAATTTGATTCCCTTTCGTATTTGAAAGTTAGACGACCATAAGACACGTGATTCAAATTCTTTAACCATTCAAAGAATGAAACGGTAACACCACCGGCATTCATATATAAATCTGGTATAACCAAAACATTTCGCTCAATTAAAATTTTATCAGCGGCTGGAGTAGTCGGTCCATTGGCAGCTTCAGCTATGATTTTTGCCTAAAAGAGATATTATGATAGTTTAAAGAAAATGAAAACGATATGTATTTGATCAGAAAACAAACGTTGAGAAAATTCTTTTAACCTTGATAAGACCAGCATTGGCTTTCGTGATAACTTTCTCGATTGCTGCGGGTATAAATATATCACAAGGTTCGTACATAAGATTTTCACCTTCGTACGGTTTAGCACCAGGGAAGCCCACGATAGTACCATTCTCTATACGATAATCTTCCAATTGCTGTAGTATATAAATTACATTAAATAATCTTATTAATGCAAAATAACTTTGTTAGAGTTATTGCATCACTGCGAGAGAATTAATTATGTTTTAAATTTCATATAGTCGCCTACCTTGGGGTCAATACCTTCGGAATTGAAGATAGAACCATCGTGTTCGATTACTCCTATGCAAGTAGCACCGGCACGCGTTAAGTAACGCATCGAATGTAAACCGACGTTACCAAAACCCTGAACAATGAATGTTTTTCCTCCCCAGCCAGGTGTGGTACCTAACAGGAAAAAGTTAGCTGATGAAGAAAGCAAGAAATAGGTAGCTTACTATTGGTGCATAGGTCGCGTCAGATACTACTAGAAAATTAGAACAGCTATTACTAACAGAGATAATTCTAGCTAAAAACACAAATTAAACTAGCTACATTTTCTTACCGATCATGCTCATGTAATTAGCTTCATTGATAAAATTTTCTATTCCGTGGAATAAACCACGCCCTGTAGCAGAAATACGTCCGTGTATTCCACCTTGATTAATTGGTTTCCCAGTTACACAGGCGTGAGCGTTGATGTCCAAATGACCTATTGTCTTGGCGTATGTATCCGCGATCCAAGACATTTCGCGTTCTCCAGTTCCCATGTCGGGAGCAGGGACATCGATACCGGGTCCTAAAAATTAAAGATATATTTAATTTTGATGTATTTAGTTTTACTCCATTTTGATGTATTTAGTTTTATTCCATTTGATGTATTTAGTTTTATTACATTTTGATGTATTTAGATTATAAAGGAATATAATCTAGTAGTTCTATTTAATACTTAGGCATTGTGTATTGTCAATTATTATTTATTCAATTATCCAAAAATTATAAATATTCATACACCATTGTTCTTCAAATTTTTTTTTTTTTCTCTTAAGTTTTCAACACCTTCTTGCTCAATTAAATTAACATTATTAGTGAAGAGCGATAAGCTGTTCTGTAAGATATCAAGTTCAATAAATCCTCTTATCACAACAGGAAAAAGTTTGATAATAGAATGAAATTTTACAAATTACAAGTATCTGATTATCCTATTACAAATGTGAAAAACTGTAAAAAAGAAGTCTATAATCTACAATTTATAACTTTATCTACTGTTTAGAAGACATAAATTCCTTTCCTTTTTTAACTAATAATTTAATTTAAGTTCAATCAATTTGTTATTAAGAATACCTGAGTGTTATTAATATCTTCAAATACAATCAACAAATATATGAATTTTTAATTATTTATTTTGAACATTATCAATGCTATATTATGATTATGTTAATTTAAATATTATTAATTACAATTTGCTTTTCTAACTTAGCAACAGATATTTGTAATTTTATAACTGAATAAAAAGTGTCCACATATTTTTGAACGATAGTGTCAAGGCAATCAATAACCATAGCATAATAATAATTACGTATGTGTATTAACTTTAAATATTCGTGTTTATGTAACACGATCGTTATATGCTGACGTGTTAATTAAAACTTATCACAACGAGTCGAGTAAACAGTTTAGTCAGAATAAATTTAATAATGCCGCGTACAATCGTGTGATGAAATTGCGTGTCTGTTTCTTCGATTCATTCGTTGTTTCTCCAATTATCTTCAACATGAACGTAAATAAAGCTGTACTTCGACATTTCGAAATATCTTACCAATAAATCCCTTCTTTGCCAGCTCTAACGTGAATCTTCTTGTGATCTTTTCGAGCTCATGTTCCGAATACAATTTAGGATTAATTTTAATACCGGCTTTAGCTCCACCGAAAGGAACATCTACGCAGGCACACTTGAAAGTCATTAATGCCGATAAAGCTTTCACCTCATCCCGCGAGACGTCCATCGAGAAACGAATACCTGTAA